AATGCTTCATGGTGTCACTTATTTCTCTGATTCTATTTTCATGGATTCTGAGTTGTTTTTCCCTGGCCTCCTCTTTTCCCTTTTTATCTATTAAATTATCTTCCAGGTCACTGATTTGTTCTTCTGCCTCACTTACCCTAGCTGTTAGATTATCTAGATTAGATTGGATCTCATTGATAGCATTTTTAAGTTCTGCCAATTCAGCTTTCATTTCTGCCCTTAGAGACTCTATGTTGCCATTAATTGATTTCTCCATTCTAGCTACTGTCCTCACAATTGTTAGCCTGAATTCCATCTCCGACATCTTGGTTATATCTGAATCCATTGGTAAATCTGTGGCATAGGTCATAATCTCAGTCTTTCCTATTTTGGGGGTTCTTCTAGTCATTCTGTTGAAGGGCGGTTGAGGGAATGTATAGATTCCAAATTATTGACCACAACCCAAGCAAGATGCACCTGTTTTCTAGGGACCTTAGGGTTGCTGGCCTCTTGTTCTCCCAGCCTGTCTTCTGGGGGAGGGGCCTGCTGCGCTGTTACTCAGGCAACGCTGTTTGGGCAGAGTTGCCCTACCCCTCTGTGGCAGGGGATGGGCTCAGTGGGAACCAGTTTTGGGGGCTTTTGTTCTCTGGCAGCTTTCCCTGGCGGCTTTCTGCATCTCTTCCGAGAGTCAGACCAGAGGAGACCGTTTCTAACCCTCTGCCTCAGAGCAGAGAGACCGCAGTCTGTTCTTCAGTGAGTTCTCCAGGCCACAGTCTCTCCCTCTCTGTCCGTGCTGCTATAAACTGCAGCGGCCTGGGTTGTGCACCCCTCTGCAGCGCCCCCAGTCCTGCCTCCAGGTCGGAGCACGGCTCTGCCCTTTGTGCTTCTAAAACCGCCAGCTGCTCCCAGTTTGCACGCGTGACCCCACCGCTCGGGGTTTCTGCCCTGGGGGCTGCCCTAAAATTCTTTCCCCGCCGCTACCGGTCTGCGAGTCTGTGCCCAGTCCCCAGCGCGGGAGGCTGTCGCTCACCGGCGGTGTAGGATCCCCACGGCCAGGCTCCCTCCCGCTGCTGTTTATCCTCCGATATCTGCCCGTGGAATCAGGGCTCCCTGCTTCCTACCTCAGAACCAACCATCTGCGATATTCTGTTTCAACATTACACATTTCTAATGATTACTTATAAAAAAAATTTTCTGGTAGGAGAATTATTTAATAAGTGGTTAGTCCACTGACATGTAAGACTAGGATTTATTAGTCCCATTGATGTTCTGAATTATTTTTTTCTGGAAATATTTAGGGCCACCTGTTTGAGATCTGTGCTAGGAATATAGACACCCAAGACACAACACTTTCGTTAAGGACCTTGCAGATCTGTAGTTAAGCAGACACAGCCGTAATTGCAGGGAAGTAAATATATTATGTAGATGTGCTCAGAGCAACAGCAAATTGAGAGAGTCAACAAGCATGTGGAGAAGATGACATCTGAGAGGACTCTTTGATGGATATTACTCAGGTACAATAAAGGGGGGGTGGAGAGGACATCCCAGGAAGGGAGAAAGGCATGTGCAGTCAAAAAAGTGTGAGAGTGCAAAGCCCAGTCAGGGAACTGGGAGGAAGCTGGTTCTCTGGGCCACAGAATTCAGACTGGGGAGTGGTAAGAATTGAACCCTGGGAGGTGGGCAGAGGCCAGGTCATGAAACCCCTGTGCAGAGCACTAAGGAATTTGTAATTTATCTGAAAGATAATGGAGAGCTTTGAAGAACATTAAGCATTGAGTAGTTGTCTTATAATTTGAGATAACTCATCAAGGAGAGCTAATGCTTCTCCATTTGTTGTAATGAGACCCTCAGAAATACATTTAAATTGTGACTCAGTACACATTCTCAGATATACCCATGAATATGTGTTTTTGAAACAAGTTTCACAGTAATATATTACTATGTACAATAATTTCTTTAAGTTCTATTGTAAGATCTAAACTATTCCATTAAAAGTTGCTCACTAACCTTATTTTACTAATGGGTCATGAGTTATAGTTTAGAAAAACTGTAGCTTAAAATTCCTAATATAGGCAGTATATTGGAAGGATTGGCAGATAGAGCAAAAGGCAGGAAAGCTGATTCATGACTGTAGAAGTTATCCAGGCAAGAGATACTGGTAATTCTATTCAGGAGTTTCTGGAGGAAGGATGGATTCATTGCAAGATAGAGTAGATATTGTGGAGTAAGGGAGGAGGTGGAGACTACGTAAACCCCTAAGGTAATTTAGCTTGGCTAACTGAATAATTGGGGAACACAGGAAAGTTCAGGTTTCAGGAAGAAGATCTGTAAGTGTTGAATGTGGGTGCCGGGATATGTTAGCCATGGTTGGGGGCTTAAGGGAAAGATCTGGATTAGAGATAGAAACTCAAATGACACAGTATCTAGATGTTTTAGGCATCATCATCATTGCACTTGATTTGATAACTATTGCTTTTGAAGTATGGTCCTCATTACTGAACCCTATATTCTAAGCATGGTCTGGTTAAAGCAACTGGCTATTAATTTTTTGGCTTTTAGTTTCTGCTATTCTATCTATGCAAACTAAAATTGTATAAGATATTTATGTTAACATCTCTGCTTTTTCTTCAACTTGCCTTTTTGAATTCTGATTCTGCCATTTTTCCTATCCGCTTTCTCTTTTAAAAAGGCTCTTATTTGATAAGATGGCTTGGCCTTTTAGAATTTTATTCAAAATACTGATAGGTCTTTGACCTTGTTTCATTCAAACTTAACTGCTTTGTCACTTGACTTTAAAAATAATCTTGTAAAGCATAGGGTGTAGTTCTCTCTTTTTCTTTCTTTCTTTTTTTTGTGTGTGTGTGTGTGTGTGTGTGTGTGTTTATCTGGTTTTGGTACCAGGGTAATGCTTGCCTTGTAGAATGAATTTAGAATCTTTAATTTCTCTTTTACTTTTGGGACTAGTTTGAGAAAAATCAATATTATCTGAACTTTAAGTGTTGGTAGAATTCACCTATGAAGCCCTCTGGTCCCCGATTTTTGTTTGTTGGGAGTGGTTTTTTTTTTTTTTTTATTACTGATTTAATTTCATTGTTAGTAATTAGTCTGTTCAAATTTTCAATTTCTTCCTGATTCAGTTTTAGGCTATAGGTTTTTAGGAAATTGTCCATTGTCAATTTGTTGGCATATGATTTTTCATAATCTCTTATAATTCTTTGTATTTTTTTAAAACAGGCTTTTATTTAGAAGATTTATGTTCAAATTCTGGCTATATGACTAACTTATTTAAGAGTAATTTTGTTTATTTCATTTTATTTTAATTTAAAGATTTTTACTAGCATGAGAGAGAGCATGAGTGGAGAGAGGGGAAGAGGGAGAAGCAGACTCCCCACTGAGCAGGGAGCCTACCGAAGAGCTCAATCCCAGGACCCTGATATCATGACCTGAGCTGAAGGCAGAAGCTTAACTGACTGAGCCTCCCAGATGCCCCAATCCTTTGTATTTCTGTGGTGTTATTTCTTCATTTCTGATTTTTTTAGTTCTTTTTTTCCTGTTTTTTTTTTTTGATGAGTCTGGGCTACTCAAAGAATCAGTTCCTGGTTTCATTAATTTGTTCTATTGGAGGTTTTTTTCTGTCTCATTTATTTCTGCTTTAATATTTATTTCCTTCCTTCTATTGGTTTGGACTTTATTTTTCTTTTACTAGCTCCTTTAGGTGCAAGTTTGAGACTTTTCTTGTTTTTTAAGGTAGGCCTATATTGCTATAATCTTCACTCTTGGACAGCTTTTTCATCCCACAGATTTTGGACTATTGTGTTTTTATTTTCGTTTGTCTCCACGTATTTTTTTTTATTTCCTTTGATTTCTCAGTTGATGCAGTTGTTATTTAGTGACTTATTTAACCTCCACGTATTAGTATTCTTTCCAGATTTTTTCTTATTGATTTCTAGTTTCATATCATTATGGTGGGGAAAAAAATGCATACTAAGATTTCAACCTTTTTGAATTTGTTGAGACTTGTTTTGTGGCTTAACATGTGCTCTATTATGGAGAATGTTCTATGTGCATTTGAAAAGGTGTAGTCCATGTTTTAGGTTAGAATATCTGTTAGATTGATCTGTTCCAATGTGTCATTCAAAGCTATTTCCTTGTTGACTTTCTGTCTGAATGATCTATACATTGACGTTAGTGGTGTGTTAAAGTCCCCTACTATTATTGAATGACAGCTGGCTGTCTTCTTTATGTTTGATATAATTGCTTTATGTGTTTGGATGCTTCTATGTTGGGTGCATAAATATTTATAATTGTTATAACTTCCTGTTGGATTGTTCCCTTTATCAAGTAGTGTTGTCTCTTGTTATAGCCTGTTTTACAGTCTATTTTGTCTGAAATGAGTATTGCTACCTCAGCTTTGTTTTCAGTTCCATTTGCATAATAAATGTTTTTCCATCCCTTTACTTTCATTTTACATGTGTCTTTAGGTCTGAAGAGAGTCTCTTATAGGCAACATATGAATGGATCTCGTTTTATCCATTCAGTTACCTTATGTCTTTTTATTGGAACATCTAGTCCATTTATATTCAAAGTAATTATTGATAATGTACTTATTGCCATTTTGTTACTTATTTTATGGATGTTTTGTAGTTCTTTGTTCTTTCTCTTCCCTTGTGGTTTGATGGCTTTCTTTAGTGATATGCTTGGATTCCTTTCTGTTTATTTTTAGTATATCACAGGTTTTTGATCTGTAATTACCATTAGGTTTGTATATAACATCCTATTATTAATAGCCACCTAAGTTTTAACCAGTTCTAAAGGTACTAAATTTTTACCCCCCCGTTTTTTTTTTTATTTGTTTTTTTAAAGATTTATTTGAAAGGGGGGAGGGGCAGAGCATGAGAATCTTCAAGCAGACTCGCCACTGAGCGTGAAGCCCATCATGGGGCTTGATCTCACAACCCATGAAATCATGACCTGAACCAAAGCCAAGAGTTGAACACTCATCTGACTGAGCCTCTCAGGAGCCCCTACGCCCTCCCCGTTTTATGTATATGATGTTGTACTTTACATGTTTTTGTTTTGTGAATTCCTGGGCCCCCCCCTTTTTTTTTTTTTAAAGTATAATTGATACTACTGCTTTTGTGCTTAACCTCTGTACTGGTTTTATAAGTGATTAACCTACTATTTTTATTATTTTGCATTTACATGTGAAAAGTTTTTCTTTCCTAATTTACTTCTGATTACGGCCTTTCCTTTCCACTCAAAAAAATTCCCTTTAATGTTTTCTGGTAAGGCTGGTTTAGTGGTGATGAGCTTGTTAACTTTTTTTAGGAAACTCTTTATCTCTCCTATTCTGAATGATAGTCTTGCTGAATAGAGTATTCTTGACTGCAGGTTTTCTCCTTTCAGCACTTTGAACATATCATGCCACCCTTCTCTGGCCTAAAAAGTTTCTGTTGAAAGATCAGCTGATAGCTTTATGGTGTTTCCCTTTTATATAACTGTTTTCTTTTCTCTTGATGCTCTTAAAATTCTATCACTACTTTTTGTCATTTTAGTTATTATGGCTTGGTGTGGGCCGCCTTGGGTTGATTTTGCTGGTGTTTCTCTGTGGCTCTTGGATCTAGATGTCTGTTTCCTTCCCCAAATTAGGGAAGTTTTCAGCTATGATTTGTTCAAATAAATAAAATAAATTTTCTGCTCCCTTTTCTCTCTTCTCCTTCTGAGACCCTTATAATATATGCAACTGTTATTTAGCTTAATGATGTTTCTGAGTTCCCTTAACCTAGTCTCATTTTTTATTTTTCTTTTTGTTGTTCAGCTTGGTTGCTTTCCATTTCTGTCTTCCAGTTCACTGATCTGCTCTTCTCTGTCTAGTCTACTATTCCATCTAGTGTATTTTAATTTCATTTGAGTTCATCTCTGATTGGTCCCTTATATTTTCTCTTTGTTGGTTTCATTGAGATCCTCCACTCTTTACTCAAGTCCAGTAAGTATCTTTATGACCATTACTTTGAATACTCTATCAAGCATATTGCTTATCTGTTTCATTTAGTTCTTTTGCTTTGATTTTGTCCTGTTCTTTCATTTGTGACATATTCCTCTGTCTTCTCATTTTGTCTACCCTTCTGTGTATATTTCTGTGTGTTAGGAGAGTCAGCTGTGTCTCTTGCTCTTGAAAGTAGTGGCCTTATACAGAAGTCTTATAGTGCAATGTCTCCTATTCACTAGAACCAGACATTTCAGGGATGTCTATGTGTGTTGTGTGTACCCTACTATTGTTGCTGAGCCATGTTTACCTTCAGTTAGCTATAATAGCTCACTTTGCCTATTGTGTGTCATGTCTGGTTCCTGTGCTGTTAAGGGACCAGTGTTGGGCACAGTTGGGTCAGACCAGATACCTGTCCTCAGACCATCTGCTGGGCCTGCAGGTGCACTGAACTGCAGAGCACTCTCCCTGAGAGGCTTTTGTTGGTGGGCAGGGTCTGCAGTCATGTCTGCCCCAGTACAGGGTTGCAGTGACCACCAAGCTATAGGGCTCTTTCCTTGTGCTGCCCTTCTGAGGTTTTTATTGGTGGGTAGGGCCAGCAGTCAGATCAGATGTCTGCCCCCAGCCCTTTACTGCTGGGACTGCAGTAAAACTGGTGTGTATTGTTATCTTCCTGTTTTCCCCAGAGCAAGAGTTACTTTGGAATGGTGTTGGTCACTGTTGGGGCTGCTTGCACAATGAGATGCATCAGGCACTGCTTTTGAGAGACTCCTGCTGAGGGGGATGTGAGTTGAACGGGATGGATGGATCCACAGGAGAATGTGGGGGTGGGGTCCATGAGGTTAGCAAGTTAGATGCCTACAGGTGTCCAGGTATCTAGGCTGGGGAGGAGGGAGAGGAATGGTGCCAACCAGCTCTTTTGTTCTTGGAGAAGTCTCCTAAAGATCCCTGGTCCTCCAGTGCACATTCTGAGATTAGTAAATAAATCTTCCTCTATACCCCAAGTACCATTCAAACCGCTGCTTCTGTGCTGTATCTTGGAGGGGTTGTTTGTTATACTGGGTCTTTGATGGTGGAGACTGTTTCCTATCACACCACCTCTCCAGCCTTCCCAGAGCCAAGCCCACTGATTTTTAGAGTACCCAGAATTAAATGCCACTAATTGTAAAAACTCGCAGAGGTAAGCCCGACTGGTTTTCACAGCCAAATGTTGTGGGGACTCCTCTTCCCTATGCAGGTCCCCCATGCCTTGGGTGCCTGGTATGGAGCCTACTTCTCTTCCTTCTCCATCCGTGTGGTATCCTTGATGGGAGTTTGGTTCCTGATATCCCCACTATGCCCTTCTCACTGTTTTTGATGTGGCTTCCTCTCTCTGATTAACCATGGACAGTCTGTTCTGCTAGTCTTTGGGCCACTTTCTGGGTTAGTCGCACCAATGTGGCTGTTATCTAGGTGCATTCGTGGAATGAAGTGAGCTTAGGATCCTCCTATTCCACCATCTTCCCCTGCATTTTGTCTTGATGAATTTATTAGTTTCATTAAAATCCATTGGTCTGTCTTGCAATTTGAATTGATCTTTTACAAATGTAAGATTTTGTGACATCATTCATTAGCTGATTATAAAATCTTAGCTTTTAAAAATTTGGATGCATTTTATTATCCAAGATAAAAAAATCACATTAATATCACCGTCAATTTCATCAGAAATGCCCTAAGTATTGGGAAGTGTTGTGTTGGCAGATCTGAATTTTTCAAACTCACATTTTACTAAAAAGCTTGAATTTTATCCTTGGCAAAATATATCATCAGTTCTGTTAGGCTCACTTCATTTGTTTTTGAGAAAATCTCTGCCATCAGCTGTCAGTTATTCTTTCACCTAAAATTAGTGTTTCATGGAGAAAAAAATTGCTAGTCCATCTCGTGACTCAAATGATCACAGAAGTCCTTTTCCTTGAGACAACCTTTGTACTTATGTGTGTAACAGAAGTGCTCTATGTGTCTCTCCCATTTAATCCCAGAGAATATGAAAAGACACATACTCAAGGGTTGAGATTTAATAAAGGCGCTAATTTTTACTGCTTTCCCAAGGTATTAAGTGAAACTGGATTGGTTTTTCTTTTTCTTTGCAAGTGTGAGATGGTAAAAACACCCAATGACTGCTAGTACAGGACTACCATGACCCATGTTAAGGCATCATGAGATCTAGACATCCTTGCTTTTGCACCAACAGAGTAAATGTCAACACAGTGAAAAGTGCAAATAAAGTCTTCTGAAATTGTTTCTGACTTTATGAACTTCTGAATGGGTGTTGGGGGTCCCCAGAGATTTATACTAGATATTAAGCTTAACTTATACAAGATTTTCTTCTTGTAGAGGGGAAAGTCAGATAATAAACAAAAAATGCCTGGGGCGCTAAAACCAAAATAAAGCAGGGCTGTGTGACAGGGGCTTTCTTAGCTTGGGTGGTCATTAAAGGCTCCTCTGAGAAGGTAACAGTTAAAGTGAAACTTAAAAGCAAGTAGAACAGGACAGCTAGCTCAGGCTCTGAAGTAAGAATGGCTAAGGAACAGAAAAAGGACCACATTGGTAAGCATAGCAAGTGAGGGGGACATGGTGCGAGGGAAGGTCAGCGAGATAGTCAAGGTCCACACTGGATTGGCCTTAGAAACCAAGGTAAGGAACCAGCTTTTATTCTAAGTTTGATGAAGACTTGCAGGGGATTGAGCCAAAGTGAAAGGTGACAGCTACCTTGTATTGCCCCCAGGAGGTGCGTCTTCCCGTCTTCCACCTCCTTTCTTCTGCAGATGACTTCATCTGGCTTTGAAATTGTAACTTCTGGTTGTAAAGTTGTGAATGTAAGTGGAAAAATCCCAAAAGATTACATATGGCATGATACTCTTTTTATAAAACAAAAAATAACTTCTAAAATATTAGTCATGAAAAGGCTATATAAAAAGGAAACCAAGGGGATAATAAACAAATTCAGAATAGTGATGACCTCAGATAAGGGAGTCAGGAGGACCACCAGTTCAGGGAAGACCACACAGAGAGATGTGGGTCCTTGTCAGAGCTCCAGTTCTGATGTTGTGTGATGGTTTTGTTGGTGTTTATTACCTTATTAAGAACAAATGAATGAAAGTAGGCTGGCCATGAATGGGCCAATCATAAGAGTCTGTCAGGAGCTACATATTATGACTGACCCAAATTTATGCACTTGGGGTTTAATATAAAAATAAAATAAGAGTGTAGAAGACACAAATCTAACACCTTTTTCATTTCTTCACAAACCCAAATGCAACTTTCTAGCCCATTCTGACCATATATGTGCAAATATCAACTATAGCATCTGGTTAAGAGTTTGGGTTACCAGGTAAAATACATGGGTTCAAATCTTTGCTTTATATGTAACTTGGACACAGTACTAATTCCTCTAGGCCTCCATGTCTTCATCTGTAATGTGTGATAATAGCAGAATCCCTCTCTTAGGGTTGTTGAAAAAACACAATAGGATCACATCCATAAAGTGCCTGTTACAAGTTTTTTCTCACATTTGCAGGGCAGGTGAAAATTCTTTCCTGTAAATTCTTCCTGGTTCTTTCAATTTGTTTTATTTTTATTAGAAATGACATACCACATAGATCGTTCTGCAAATATTGAATCACCCTCATATCCCAGGAATAAATTCTACTTGATAATGGTGTATGATTTTTTAATGTATTGGATTTGGTTGAAGATATTTGCATCTATATTCATCAGAGATATTGGCCTCTAGTTCTCTTCTTTTTCTGGTGTCTTTATCGGGTTTGGTATAAGGGTGATACTGGCATCATTGAATAAATTTGGAAATTTTCCTTCCGCTTTTATTTTTTTGAATAGTTTGAGAAGAATAGGAATTAACTCCTCTTTAAATGTTTGGTAGACTTTGCCTGTGAAGCTGTTTGGTCCTGGACTTTTTTTGGGGGGAGGTGGGTAGTTTTTTGACTACTGATCCAATTTCATTGCTGGTGATTTGTCTGTTCTAATTTTCTATTTCTTCCTGCTTTAGTTTTGGTAGATTATGTTAGGAATTTATCCATTTCTTCTAGGTTGTCCAATTTGTTGGCATGTAGTTTTTCATAATATTCCCTTATACAATTGTATTTCTGGGGTGTTGGTGGTGGTTTCTCCTCTTCCATTAGTAATTTTATTTGGGTCCTTTTTCTCTAATGAGTCTTGCTAGAGGTTTATCAATTTTATTAATCTTTTCAAAGAATCATCTTCTGGTTTCATAGATCTGTTGTTTTTTGTTTTATTTTGTTTTAGATTCTATATCATTTATTTCTGCCCTAGTGTTTACTATTTCCTTCCTTTTGCTAGGTTTGGGTTTTGTTTGTTCTTTTTCTAGCTTACGTGCAAGGTTGGGCCGTTTAAGATTTTTCTTGCTTCTTGAGGTAGGCCTGTATTGCAAAAAATTTCCTCTTGGAATCACTTTTGCTGCATCCCACAGATTTTGGAGAGCTATGTTTCCATTTTCATGTAATTTTTTCATGTAATTTCTTTGATTTCTTGGTTGACCCATTCATTGCTCCACATATTTGTATTCTTTCCAGACTTTTACTTGTCATTGATTTCTAGTTTCATAGCACTGTAGTCAGAAAAGATGCATGGTAGAACTTCTATTTTTTTTTAAATTTGTTGAGACTTGTTTTGTGACCTAATACATGATCTATTCTGGAAAATGTTCCATGAGCACTCAAAGGATATGAATTCTACAGGTTTAGGATGGAATATTCTGAATGTCTGTTAAATCCATCTGGTCCAGTGTGTCATTCAAAGCCACGGTTTCCTTGTTGATTTTCTGTTTGGATGATCTGTCCATTGATATAAGTGGGGAGTAAAAGTCCCCTACTGTTATTGTAGTACTATCACTTATTTTATGTTTTTTTATGTATTTGGGTGCTCCCATGTTGGGTGCATAAGTATGTACAATTGTTATATCCTCTTGTTGGATTGTCCCCTTTATTATTATATAGTGTCCTTCTTTGTCTCATGTTACAGCCTTTGTTTTAAAGTCTATTTTGTTTGATGTAAGTATTGTTACCCTGGCTTTCCTTTGGCATCCATTTGCATGATAAATGTTCCTCCATTCCCTCACTTGCAATCTGCAGGTGTCTTTAGGTCTGAAATGAGTCTCTTGTAGGCAGTACATGGATGGGTCTTATTTTTTTGTCCACTCTGTCATCCTCTTTTAAGAAGAGCATTTAGTCCATTTACATTCAAAATTATTGATAAATATGTATTTATTGCCATTTTCTTGTTTTGTTTCTATAATTTCCTCTGAAAATCTCTTGCTCTCTTTCATGGTTTGTTGGCTTTCTTTAGTGATATGCTTGGGTTCCTTTCTCTTTATTCTTTGCATAGTAGTTTTTGATTTGTGGTTACCATTTGATTTGTATATAATATCTTCTGCATATAGCAGTCTATATTAACTTGATGGTCACTTGAGTTTAAATCCATTCTTTAGTGATTAAACTTAAACCTCTGTTGCCCACATTTTATGTATATGGTATCATATTTTACAACCTTTTATGAATCCCTTTCTGAATTTTATAGAAATTTTATTTTTACTGCTTTTGTTTTTCATTTTTTACTTATAGTCTTCCTTCCCACTCAAAGAGTTCCCTTTAATATTTTTTTGTAGGGCTGGTTTAGAGGTCACTTGACATCCTTTAGTTTTTGTCTGGGAAACTCTTATCTCTCCTTCTATTCTGAATTGCAGCCTTGCTGTATAGAGTATTCTTGGTTGCAAGTTTTTACTTTTAGCATGTTGAATATATCCTGTTACTCCTTTCTGGCTTGCAAAGTTCCTGCTGAAAAATTTGCCCATGGCCTTAAGGGGTTTCTTTTGTATGTAACTGTCATCTTTTCTCTTGCTGCTTTTTTTTTTTTTTTCTTTACCACTACTTTTTGCCATTTTAATTACTTTGTGTCTTGGTGTGGACCTCCTTGGGTTGAATTTTTATGTGGATCTCTGTGCCTCCTGGGTCTGGATATCTTTTTCCTTCCCCAGATTAGGGAAGTTTTCAGGTATGATCTCTTCAGATAAATTTGCTGCCCCCTTTTCTCTCTTCTTCTAGAAATTCTATAATATGAATGTTATTATTTTGATGAAGTCATTGAGTTCCCTCAGTCTATTCTGTTTAGCATAATTCTTCTCTTTCATTTAGCTTAATTACTTTCCATTACTCTTCTAGGTCATTAATTTATTCCTCTGCTTCATCTAGACTGCTATTTATTCCATCACTGTATTTTTAAAATTTCATGTATTGAATTTTTTTTATCTGATTGGTTCTTTCTAATCTCTGTGTTAAGGGGCTTACTGATGTTCTCCACTTTTTTCTCAAGTCCAGTGATTATCTTTATGATCATTACTTTAAATTCTCTAGCAGGCATATTACTTATATCTGTGTTGCTTTGGTCTCTTACTGTGGTTTTGTCCTGTTCTTTCATTTGAAAGTAGTTTCTCTGCCTCCTCATTCTGTCTGGCTTTCTGTGTTTCTATGCGTTAGGAAAGTCAGTTACTTCTCTTGCTCCTAATGATAATAGCCTTATGAAGAGGAGGTTCTGTAGTGCCCTGCAGTACAGTGTCCCGTTTCCCAGGGACTAACACTTCAGGGAGTGTCTTGTGTTTTGTATATGCTCTCCTTTTGAGTTTTGGCCTCTTTTACCTTCAGTTGTCTGTAGACACTCTCTGCCTATTGTGAGCAGCAAGGTGTATGGTAGTCTGTTTGCAAAACAAGACCTGCCCTTGCCACTGCTCTGAGTTCCTATGAGATGTGGGAGTCAGGAGATGTGGTGTTGGCAGTGTTTGTGCTGGTCTTCTAGGGAAGGGGGCCTGTAGTGCCAAGACTGAGGCAGGTGTGACTGGGAAGGGATGATTCACTGAAGTGTGTAGGGTGGGAGTACAGGGAGTTGGGGTTTGGTGCAAGCAAGTTAGGTAAGGGGTGTCAGGGATGCTTAGGTGGCCATTGTTTATGTTGGGGCATGGGAGAGGGAAATGGCATCTGCCAGCTCCCTTCTTCCTGGAGGGGGTCCCCTCATGATCCCTGTTCCTCTAGGCCACTCTAAGATGAGCAAAACACCCTCCCATCAGTCCCCAGCATTATCCAAGCTCCTAGTTCTATGCTGTATATGCACAGACTATTTCTCCTGCTGTCTCTTTGAGAATGGGGACTCTACTTCTCAGATCCAAGCCTGCCAATTTTTAAAATTCCAAGCTTTGAGTCCTGCTGGTTTTAAAAACTTACAAATATAGCCTCTCATTTTCAAAAGCAAATATTAGAGATTTGGCCTTCCTGTTCATGGGCTCCCCAGTGTGAAAGTCTGGTTTCTGCCCTTCTCTGCAACACTGGCCCAATCTCCCCCGCAGTTGGTTGGCCCCTGTCTATTTCATTCCCTTCTTTCATGTGACCTCTTCCCTGCCTTTGTGTAGTTTGTTCTGTCATTCTTTGCGTTGTTTATTTTTTTTGTGGGGGGGTGGATTATTTATGCTGACATGGGTTTTATCTAGTTGTATTCATGGGACAAAGTGAGCTTAGAGCCCTCCTACTCTGTCATCTTCCCAGCCAACTTCTCAAACTGATGGTTACCAGAGAAGAGAGGGGTAGGGCCTGGGGGAAACTGGAGATGGGGATTAAAGAGTACATGTCTCAAAAAATACATTTATCATGATTAAAAAATAAATGATGCTATATAGAGAAAATCCTATGGATTCCACCAAAAAAATACTAGACCTGGTAAATGAATTCAGTAAAGTCACAAGATACAAAATCAATGTACAGAAGTCTGTTGCATTTCTATACAATAATAAACTGCACAAAGTGAAATTAAGAAAACATCCCATTAACGCGGCAGGGATGTCCACTATCACCACTGCTATTCAACATAGTATTAGAAGTCCTAGCCACAGCAATCAGACAAAAAAAAGAAATCAAAGGCATCCAAAT